TAAAATAAATAAATAAGTAAAATTCTTTTAAAAAATGGAAGTTTAAAAAAAATATTTAAATAAATGGTTTAATACGAAGTTTAAAAGATTTAATCTAAGGTTTAAATGGTTTAATCCAATATTTAGATGGTTCAATCACAGTTTTAAATGGTTTAATCCAAGGTTTAAATGGTTTAATCAAAGTTTTAAATGGTCTACTCCAATATTTAGATGGTTTAATCCAAGATTTAGATGGTTTAATCCAAGATTTAGATGGTTTAGTCTAAGGTTTGAATGGCTTAACCCGAGTTTTAAATGGTTTAACCCAACATTTAAATGGTTTAATGCAAAATTTACATGGTTTCATCTGAGGTTTACATTATTTAATCCAAGGTTTAAATGGTTTAATACAAGGTTTAAATTATTTAATCCAAGGTTTAAATGGTTGAATGCAAGGTTTAAATGGTTTAATCTTTGGTTTAAATTGTTTAACCCAAGATTTAAATGGTTTCATCCAAGTTTTAAGTAGTTTAATCACAGATTTGAATGGTTTAATCCAAGGCTTAAACGGTTTAATCAGAGGTTTGAATGGTTCAGTCCAATATTTAGGTGGTTTAATCCAAGATTTAGATGGTTTAACCTACGGTTTGAATGGTTTAATCCGAGGTTTGAATGGTTGAATCCAAGATTTGAATGGTTTAACACAAAGTTTAAACGGTTTTATCCAAGTTTTAAAGGGTTTAATCCTAGGTTTGGATGGTTTAATCATTGGTTTAAATGGTTTAATCCAAGGTTTAAATGATTTAATGCAAAGTTTAAATGGTTGAGTCCAAGGTTAAAATTGTTTAATCCAAGGTTTAAATGGTTTAATTGGAGGTTTAAACAATTTAATCAGAGGTTTAAATGATTTAACCCAACGTTTGAATGGTTTAATCCAAGGTTTAAACAGTTTAACCCAAAGTTTAAATGGTTTAATCCAAGGTTTAAACGGTTTAGTCCAAGGTTTAAACAGTTTAACCCAAAGTTTAAATGGTTTAATCCAAGGTTTAAACGGTTTAGTCCAAGGTTCAAACAGTTTAACCCAAAGTTTAAATGGTTTAGTCCAAGGTTTAAATGGTGTAATCCAAGGTTTAAACAGTTTAACCCGAAGTTTAAATGGTTTAATCCAAGGTTTAAACAGTTTAACCTATAGTTTAAATGGTTTAGTCCAAGGTTTAAACTGTTTAATCCAAGGTTTAAATTATTTAGTCCAAGTTTTAAACAGTTTAACCCAAAGTTTAAATGGTTTAGTCCAAGGTTTAAACAGGTTAACCCAAAGTTTAAATTAT